TCGGGAAGAACAGGCCGAACCCGAGGCAGCGGCGGGCCGGCGACGGCGCAAATGCAGGGGCCGGCCGGCGGGCAGCAACTAGACACGGCCACGACGGCGGCCAGGGACAGCCGCGACGACAGCCAGGCGCAGCCACGACGGCGGCCAGGGACAGCCGCGACGGCTGCGAGGGGCGGCCGCGACGGCAGGAGCGACCGTGAGGCGGCCGCGACGGCAGGAGCGACTGCGAGGCGGCTGGAGACGGCAGCAACGGCATCTAGGGGCGGCTACGACGGCGAGGGGCGGCCGGGACGACTAGGGGCGGCCGAGGGACGGCAGGAAGCGGCCGCGACGGTGGCTAGAAGCAGCCGCGACGGCTAGGGGCGTGCTCAAACGGCCAGGGGGTCTGCGAGGAGCGGGCGCGAAACGGCTAGGGCGCCTGCTAGGAGGGGCTCAACGGCCAGGGGGCCGGCTAGGGACGAGCGCGAACGGCCAGGGGGCCAGCTAGGGACGGGCGCGAACGGCCAAGGGGCCGGCTAGGGGCGAGCTTGACGGTCAGGGGGGCTGGCTAGGAGCGATCGCGACGGCCAGGGGGCCGGCTATGGGCGAGCGCGACGGTCAGGGGCCGGCTAGGAGCGATCGCGACGACCAGGGGGCCGGCTAGGAGCGGGTGCGACGACCAGGGGGCCAGCTAGAGACGGGCGCGACGACTAGGGGGCCGGCTAAGTGCGAGCGCGACAGCCAGGGGGCCTGCTAGGGGCGGGCGCGAACGGTCAGAGGTCGGCTAGGGACGGGCGCGACGGTCAGGGGGCCCACTAGGAGCGATCGCGATGGTCAGGGGGGCGGCTAGGAGCGGGCGCGACGGCCAGGGAGCCAGCTAGAGACAGGCGCGACGGCCAGGGGGGCGGCTAGGGACGAGCGCGACGGCCAGGGGCCGGCTAGGGACAGGCGCGAACGACCAGGGGGGCGGCTAGGGACGAGCGCGAACGGCCAGGGGGCCGGCTAGGGACGGGCGCGAACGGCCAGGTGGCCGGCTAGGGACGAGCGCGACGGCCAGGGGGCCGGCTAGGAATGTAGGGGCGGAAGCGTGAGCGGGCTAGGGGGGATCTAACCTACTATGATACCATATCAAAAAGAAAATGATTGAACTAGAATGTGTATGTACAAAGATATATAGACTAGGGTGTTGTACCCTCTAAGGCACAATCCAGTATAGTCTACAGTAACAACCTAAGTTACCTTTGACACTCCAAGCCGGAAGCATTCCTCCCACACCCCTCGCAACACAGAATTTGAAGTTGTCCCCACAACCAGAGACATTCCTCCCACACCCGTCGAAAGTCGTGACCCAGGATGATTGGCTAAAACCCCCAAACCAGAGACATTGCTCTCACTCACACCCCTCACAAAACTTGCAAATTTTTTCGTGTCCCTCACAGCCAGATACAAAGGCCAGTGGGCGAAGTTTTCAGGCAAAAATGTACGCGTTGTCCAAATTTCAAGACGAAATATAACTCACGGTCTGTTTTTCATGTGAAATTTAAACATCCGTCTAAACATTAAGACGAAATAAAACAGGTGGTCTGAAAAATCAGATGAACCTAAAAAATCGAGTATGATTTTAAGACCATCAAACCGATTTCGTATGCTATGTGAGGCCCTGCACGCAATGCATTGTCTCGAGATTGATTCGTGTGTTTTGCAAGATTGTTGCGGACCACATAGGGGTGGTTAAATAACACCCTAAACCGGAGGATTTTATCGTTTTCATTATAAGGATAAATTATTTATGATGCATTTCTGCATCGCGCTAATGGCATGATATTATTTGCGTGTATATTTCGCACACATTATTATTCACGTTTCTAGGATACTATATCTCCGATACTAGGCCATTCGACTACACCCAGAATCACGATTCACGATTCTGTGGGCTGGCGGCCTTCTCCCAAGAGAAAATCTCGCGAACCCCGGTCCGCGCCGAAACCTGGAATACAATCGCGTGGGTTGAATTCAATCGCGCATCGCGCCCCACACTTCGGAATCCAAACTCCAATTACCTGCGCTCCGCTTTTTGCAAAGGTTTCATAAAAATAACCTATATAAGCGGGTATTGTCACAGTTCCTCTTTCTAATTCAAAACTCGGAATTTTCCGGCAGTTCCAGCATACATGCGCCTCGGTACAACGAACACTGTAGCCGCGCCCATTCCTGTCAATTTCGCCACGCAGTGGGCGAAATTTTAGATCGCGCACTTGCGTGGCGAAATCGACGAGAATGGTGGCGGCTACAGTTTTCCCTGAAACTGACGAGGGAATGACATATTTACACTCAAATCAAAATGTATCCAAAACAAATACAGCCGAATCTTCGAATAAGCAAGTTGTTGCAGAGTCGCCCAAACCTGACACAGTCAGCCACATATTGGGCGATAGGTACAGTATTTTTGCGCAGCCGACAAAATAATAAACCCAGACGGGCCCAGCATGTGACTTGAGGTGGCATTAACCCTAAACTCGAAAAAGGGCCGCGAATTTAGGTTTGATGCCATCTTGAATGACATCTCGGATCCCTTTGGATTATATTTATTTGTCCTTAATGCTGCCCAGAATTTTCTTTACTAGTTTTACATTTTCTGTCGATTTGCAGCGCAACAAATATTGCTATGGTTTTTAGTTATTAGGTTACTGTTACTAGGACGCTGTGCACAGTAGTTACGATTAGCGCATCCCGAGGAGAGTTTTTTCCCATTTTGAGCACAAAGGGGCAGTTTAGCATTTATTCTAGTTATTGCAATTCTAATTGGGCCACACGGCACATTTTAATTGGGTGATAACTGTACTGATCGGGCTGCAAATTTGCCCACGCTCTTCCTTGTTTTTTTTCTAAACAGCTCGGATGGCCAAGTGGGAGGTCTAGATTTCCATTGATTTGAGATTCACTGTTGCCGATTTTCCATTCAGCATTCTCTACAGTGTCTGCGCGTCACTGCACAAACCTAAAAACGGGATTGCTGACAAACCTCAAACACTGACGGAAAATTCTTCTTCGGCCGTCAGATTCAAATGGAGTGACAACTACACAAACTGTATCTAGTACAGCAACACGCGCTGGGGAAAACACCGACGTATGATATTACATATTGATTTCACATACATTTAGATTTAGATTTAATTGGACACGTAGTCTAAAAAGTGAACACCAATAATAGGCAGCTTTTATTCTCATCATTTCATTATTTCTCCCTAGTTCCATACACTCAACAAGAATTTTAACTAACTTAAAGGGAAACTGTGACAATACCCGTGTATATATGCTATTTTGTATGAAACCTTCATACAAAGCGGAGCGCGGGTAATTGGAGATCGGATTCCGAAGTACGGGGCGCGATGCGCGATTGAATCCAACCCGTGCGATTTTATTCCATGTTTCGGCGCGGGCCGGGATTCGCGAGATTTTCTCTTCTCCTCACCATGTGCGCGCCTCGCGAATGCCCTGTGCATCTCGCTGTCGTGCGTGGCTCCCTCCCTCCCTATCGCCACGCCACTCTTGACCTGAGTCCCATCGCATCGCCCTCGTCTCAGGGAACGGCATCGTAAGGGCGTGTCCAGCGCGTTCATTTTGCCCCAACACGAGTTTTGTGGTTTTTATTAACACGCCGAAATATTGATTCGTCTCGCCAAGTGTGAATGTGTTGAGGTACACCTACAGTGTCAACTGCAAAACGCTCGGACACGAGCCCCACCCGTGTCTCGACAAATGAGCGGGTGCACAGCGCGCACATAACAGACTGACACGCGAAAACAGCAGGGTAACCGAGTTTCTCCCCGGGAAAGAGGCCCCGCCCGCTTTCGCGAACACGCATTACGAGCCGCGACTCCACCCAAGGGGGGAAAAATGGAGGGCTCAATTTCCCCCTCGCCAGAGGAAAAAAACACTAACAGGACGAATTCCAATTCTCCTTCCGCTTTTTCGCCGTGCTTCGCAAGCGTCACGAACGCCTGACGAAAGCAAGCGTTCAATTTTTCGCCAGCCAGGATTTGGACGTTTCTTCCATGTATATAATTTGGGCACGATTTTCATTCGGTTCAGAAATGTGCGGCCCACGTCTGTGGGCACGTTTGGAGGGTGTCCGCCAAAACCGTCAATTTATTGTGCTTGTCCGAATGGTCACGAAATTTCGGGTTACCAAGTAGAAATTTCGTACCTGATATGCAAAGTGTATTTAAAACGAACGCGCTGGACAGACCCTAAGATTTATGTACACCTTGTTTCCGTACGGAATTGCTCTTAATTAGGGCAAAGAACCGAAACACTCTTGTCAAATCTCACTTCAGTGTTGCTACTGCAACACCCACAACAATTTTAGAATGTGTTGGACGGGTTGGTGTGAGTGGGAGGGAAGAGAGGATTTCGTTGGTCTCATTTCGAATCTCGTTGGTCTCATTTCGATTTGTCCAGATTCGAACGTCTAGTTAAGCACCCGCACTATAGAATACATTTACTAAGATGATAATCATCTTTTTCCCTTTATTGTCCCACCCGGAACAGTCCAAATCGCTATCTCACCTACTAGGTTCTCAGCATGACTCGCGTTGACACTGAACCTGATTGGCTCATGATACATCTGCCAGGTCCGAGGGCGTGGTCCAATGTTGAGTTGAACTAGAAAATTTCATCCTGATTAGCATACGCCGTATGGTTAGGACACGCCCTAGTGAACTCCAGCATCACTGACACCAGTAAAACACCCCTTGCTGCAATACGTACCAAAGCATCACCCCTTGTGTACTTTGCTTTTTTGAGAGCTGGCCTTGTTTGGCTGAAGGTGCTGAACACGGCCATCGTCTTCCCAACAGCAGCTCCATCCACTTCCTGCTCGCACCCTCCCCTCGTCCATCCCATAGGGGATGCTTAGCAGCAACATGATCCGTTGTACTGTACGCTGCTATTGCCTTGCCGCTGCCACACGCAGCTAACCCTCTGCACCAACTCTACTCTCACGTAACCTTGCATTTCAGTGGCCCCCAGCCTGGAACCCCCGACCCCGAGTCGACAGTATCTCAGGATCCAAGCCGTACCAGCGAGTGGTTGCTGGTGTTCCACTGCCTCCCTTGTTACCCTGTCCAGCGAAGGACTCGCTCGCTGCGGCTGAGCTACCGCTAAGATTTTCGGTGCACGCAAAATGCTGCCCACTTTGCTACCAGCCCCAGTGTCTTCTTCCTTCCATCACTCACCTCCACTCGCGCTGCAAGCTGCTAGCGGCGTGACACTAGAAGATTGGCCCGATGGAGGAGAGGCCACGTTAAGACCAGCTCAGCTCGCTGCACAAACGATGCTGAAATGGCAGGATTGCCCGCTTATTCCGGCGAAAAGCCCAACAGCACTGGCAGTTGCCACTGAATCCCACTCGTCGCTTCTCGTTTTGCCACAGGGCGGCCCTTTGTGTGACCAATAGGCGAAGAGCTCGAGTGCGCGAACCTATCGGAAAAGCAATTGCGTGAATCCTTGTATGCGATTGGGGTTCGACTTCCGGGCCTGGGGATCGATCACGCGCTGCTTCTAGTGCACCCAGCAGAAAAGTTGATCAAGGGAGGAGGAAGGCGGCACGGGATTATCACGAGGCCACGGAGGACGATGACGTTCTAATAGTTCCAGTACTGCTTCGCCTCCAGCTACCACGATAGTTTCCATCAGCCGTGAGCACGAGCAAGCTCCGCTAAAACCACTAGACGAGCGGCGATAGCAGCAGCAGCAGCAGCAGCAACAGCAGCAGCGGTAGTACTGACAGCACAAGCAGTACTACTGCACGCAGAACCATCTCGTCGTGCCGAGCTCGCTGCCGCGAGCCAGAGCCGCTCTTCCTGCTAGGGATTTCACGACGCTACGACGCTACGACGCTACAACGCTCAGAAGCCAATCTGGCAGGAACCCCATCCAAGCGGCAGATTCCCCAGCCGAGCCACCATCAGCAGCAGCAACATGGCGGTCAACGGGGAGCGCTACAGGGATCACTTCAGAACGAGCCCCGACCAAGGAGGCACCTTGGCCATCAGCCTTGGCGGCGGCGACGGCGGCAACGACGGTCGCCTGAAGCCGCGTTTCCCATCGGCGGCTGAAGCGCAGCGTGCCAGCAACAGCATAAGACGTGTCGTCGTCGAGTCGCCCCGCGCCGACGGGGCTTCCGCCAAAACCGCGGAACCGTCAAGCGGCCCAACCGCAGATGATGGCGGTGGCGGAACCGCCAGCGGTGGTGCTATTAACGGGACAGTCGACGGTGAACATCGTCGTACTTGTGAGGCGACGACCACGAGTCGGCGAGACGGTGCCGGCTTGGCAACGAGGACAGCAGTCTCGTCCTCGACGCCGGCTGCGGCGGCGACCGTGGAACACCCGGGCGGTCTAGATGCTACTGTCGCCGTTGCCGCCGACAAGGAGGAGGAGGAGGAGGAGCCACTACCTGGGGGGGTCATGGAGCTGCTCGCGTCAGCACGCAGCGGAAAAGCCGCCGCCGCGTCTCGCTCGCCTCACCCGCCACCCGGCAGTCCAAGCGGTTTCCGTCGCCCGCGCCACTTCCGCTCCGCGTCCGTGGGCGGAGCGATCACGCCCCGCACTGCCAAGGCCCTCGGCGACATCGGCGGGGATTTCTCCCTCCCGCCGCTTTCCCCGCAGCCTCCGCGGCGCAAGGCGGCGCTGGTCTCCACGTCGGTGGACGGCGGAGTGCTGCTGTGGAGCCCGCCGGGCGCAACTCCCGGAGCCCCGTCCGCGAGTGTTCCCCCGTCAAGCGCGCCCCCCGCCTCTCCGCCTGCTGCGGAACGGTCCGCAACCAGCATGGGCAGTGGTGCTGCCATGCAGGGAGGCGCGGCGGAGAGCGAGAGCGACGAGGATGAGTCGGGGGGGGAGGAATGTGTGGTGACGCGCGTGCTGGAGAGAGGCGACGCGCGAGGGAGGATGCTCAAGATGAAGAACGCACTGATGCAGCAGCAGCAGCAGCAGCAGCAAGATGCATCAGAGCAGGCGCAACGCGGGCAGGAGGCGTCCGTGAGCAGCAACACCATTCTTCCAGGAGCTCACCAGCAGCTTGCCGGATTCGTCGCCCAAAAGCAACTCGCGGCGCCTGTCGCGGTGGCATCGTCGTCTGGCCGACAGCGCCTGGAAGCTAGCAGCTCGCAGCAGCGCAAGCGAGACGATCAGCGGAACGCGTCGGGCGCAGGAGCGTTGGGCGCAGCAGCGTGGGACGTGGGCCAGGTGGGCAAGTGCAGCAAGAGCGACGACAGCACGCGTCGCCAGGACGGCAGGAGGCAGGCAAGCGCCGGCGACAGGAGAGTGGGAGCGGACTCGCGCGCAGGTGTCGCGTCCGCGTCTGCGGATACTACTAGGCCCGGGGTGCGCCTTCCCCCCGGACTGGAACCAGACGCCTCTGCCCGCCACACGCCCACGCCCTACTCTCGCCTCTGCTCCGCTCCCTCCCTTGCGCCGCTCTCCCCGTCCCGTGCTGCGCCCCCGCTGGCGGAGCAGGGGGGGGCGTTACGGCGCGCGGGCCTGCGCATCCCGCGGAACGCCTCCGTGCCCGACAGCCTGAGCGCCATGGGCGCTGACCCTGTGCACCCGCTCTCCCCTCAGCCGCGCGCGCGAATGATTCCGCGGAACGCCTCTGTGCCCGGCGACCTCGACGCCATGGACGCGGTCTCCCCGCCCTCCGCGGACCTCCCCCCGCAGTCGCCGCAGCTCCCGCCGCGCAAGTCGAGCCGCTCCGTGTCATTCGAGATCGGCGTGGTACGGGCCCCGCGGCACTCGGGGCTGCTCCCCGTAGGCTGGCCCCGCAGTGCTCCCGCAACCCTCGCGCTCTCCGTCTCTCCCGCCGCTGCCGCTGATCCTGCTGCTGCTGGCGCGGGACGGTCGGACAGGAGCGCGGGCAGTAGTGCGGGGAGTCAGTCGGCTGGGACGGAAGGCGCGGGGAGCGAGGGGGAGTCGAGCAGTAGGGAGTCGGGGGGGGAGGAATGCGTGGTGGCGCGCGTGCTTGAGCGAGGCGACGCGCGAGGGAGGATGCTCAAGATGAAGAACGCACTGATGCAGCAGCAGCAGCAGCACAAATGGCATGAGGCAGCAGGCCAGTCACCGCGCAGGCAGCAGCAAGCTCCTGCCAGCGACAGCATTCCCACACCACACCTGCCGTCCGCCTCCGTTGTCGAGTCCCCGGCGCACCTTTCATCCGCACTAAGGCGTGGCGCGCAGGTCATCCCGCGGATCGCTTCCGCGCCAGACAGTTTCTCCAGCACCAGCTGCGCAAGCCTGGCGCCGGCCCTGGATGGAGGCATGATCGCCGGGGGTGGAGGACGAGGCGCAGTGGGCGCATCAACCGCCCCGCAGAACGGCCTCCCCCTCACTGCGCCGCTCCAGAGGAAACCCTCCGCTTCGCCTTCCGCCGAAGCCCCTGCCGTGCTGCACCCCACCCACCGCGCCTCCCTGTCCCCCCCGCCCGCCTCCCCTCATCGTTCCTCCCCGCACCACCCGCATTTTCTGGTCCCCCGTAGTTCGTCCACCGGCGCACCTCTCGCGCCACTGCCGCGCACCACGCTTTCTGCGCAGGCGTCCCCGCGTGCGTCCCCGCGCGCAGCCTCGTTCACGTCGTCGTTCGTGCAGCCGCACGGGAGCGCGTGGCACCGGCCGCCGAAGCAAGCAGCAGCAGCAGCAGCGAGCGCGCATGCTTCCCACCCGCGGGCGCTGTCCCTGGACGTCTCGGGTGTGTGGGCCCCTGTGGAAGGTGTTGGTGCTAGTGCCGGTGCCGGTGCAGATGGCAGTGCCGGGCATTCTCCAGCCTCAAGGGCTCGAGGCCTCTATTCAAGTGAAGCTTCCCCGCGTAAACCACCAAATATTTCGGCCACGCGCCTGGTAGAAGCTGGAGTGGGGAGGCGAGGAGTAATGGAAGCGCACGGACATGGTGAGACAGCTGCAGGGGGGCAGATCAGGGCTAGCAGGGCTGGTGTTGCTCTGGTGTCCCCACGTGGCAGTGCCAGTGGTACTCACACTGCGGATGGTAACCGGTGGTCCTCTGGGGGTAACCCGGCTGCTCTTGGTGGTAACCAGGCCGCTCTTGGTGCTAACCAGGCACTTGCTGGTAATCAAATCCGTAACCATGGGCACACTCGCAGTCGCAGTGTCGGCACTGTTGGATACGAGGCCACTGGGGATGGTGCGAGGTTCCCCCCTCCTGCTGACGTTTCTGCCTTGAAGCAAGCCCTGATTGGTAGCCCGAGGGGCCTTGCAAGCGGAGCCCGGAGGGGTGGGACAGGGTGGGCAAGTGGGGAGGGAGCCGGAGGGGGGCAGGGAGGAGAATGGCTTGGCAGTGCAGGCAGGGGAGGGGGGATGCCAAGAGCAGGAGGGGTGGCAGCAGGGAGAGCGGGGATGGGGAGAGGAGCACAAAGCGGCGGGCGTTCTTTTGATTCCCTGATTCCATCCATGAAAGCACCCTCTCCTGATCTTACCACTGATGCTGCACCGTCTGCTTCTACTGCTCTTGCTGCTGCTGCTTCACCTGTCACTGCTTTTGCTCCTCAGGATATGCCTGCCCCTGCTGCTGCTAGCACCGCTGCTCCCTCCTCTGCTGCGGCTTCTACATCGAACCCTGCTCTCGTCCCTTCCCCTGCCAGTGCAACAACAGCGGCACCCAAGGCTCCCTCTTCCACTGCAGCTTCACCCTCACTCTATGCCCCCCTCTCTGCTGCCACCCACCTCAGGCCTCCCACACCGTCCAGCCACACATTGTCTGCTTACACAGGGATCACCCTGTCACGAATCTCCCGCAGCCACACCACCTCAGATGCGCCTGTTGCTGCTGCTGGCGCTGCTGGTGCTGGCAATAACCCAAGCGGGCACAGAAGGACCTGGTCTGACTCCCTGGCCCTTCCTAGCGCCAACCCACGCACACCTCTTCCTCACAGTACCAGTGCTGCGTCTTCTGCAAGTGCAGCTGTAGCTAATTCTGCTGCTGCAGCAGGCGCAGGTGTGGGTGGCCCTGCTGCAGCAGCTGGGGCACGAGTGAGCGCTGGGTGTGTGGATGGGCCTATGAGCACTCTGGCCATCAGCAGCAGCAGGGGGGGCGCCCTCATGGTGAGTGGCCGGACCAGGAGCAAGTGGGTCCCAGGCACAGGGGCTCCCCATATCACCACTGCCACTATCGCCCAAGCCTGCAAGGGAGGCCAAGTGGTTTTTGAGTACCAGCAGAGGCGGCCGCCGCCCAGCAACGAGTCTTATCCAAGCGCTGCCACTATTGGCACCACTGCTCCTGTTGCCTCTGCTGCTATCATCCGTTCGCCTGTTCCTGGTGTTGCTGGTGTTCCTGCTGGTGCTGGTGGTGTTGCTGCTGCTGGCGCTGCTGTTGGCGGCAATAACATCAGCAGGCACAGAAGGGCTCGGTCTGACTCGCTGGCCATTCCCATCGCCAACATCATGCGCACACCTCTTCCTGACAGTACCAGTAGTGCTGCTGCTGCTGCTGCTGCTGCTGCTGCTGGGGGAGCACGTGTTGGTGAGCCTGCAGTTGCATCTGCCCGCATCACCCAAGGCTGCAAGGGAGACCACTTGGTTTCTGAGAATCAGCAAGGGGGGACGCCGCACAGCTATGACTCCTTTTCAAGAACTGCCACAATTCGCGCCGATACTGGTTGCGATCGCCGTTCAGCTGGTGCTGCTGGTGGTGCTGCTGCTGTCAACCGTTCGCCTTTTCCTGGTTTCAACGGGGCGCATTCCATGAGCTCGTCATCAGTTCCCCAGTGCACTGCCCCAGAGCCCCACATGCCGCCACTGGTCAAGGCAGGAAGGAGTGTGAGTGGCAGCGGCAGCAGCAGCTCCCGCACAAGCAGCAGCAGTCACAGCACCAGCGGTGGTGGGAGCTCCATTGCTCGCAACACAGATACAGGAAGAGGGAATGCGGGGAGAAGAGGAATTGGAGGAGGAGAAGGCGTAGGAGGAGGTGGTGGTGGTGGGTGGAGGGATCCTGGTAGCAGCATAGACAGCAGCAGCGGTGGGCGAGGGAGTGCGAATGACAGCAGCAGCAGTGCATGCACCCCCACCACCATGGCCAGCAGCATGGCCTCAACTAGCACTTCCGAACACCACTCTAGCAGAAACACCACCTCCCAGCCTCCCGCGTCAAGCCACCCCGCGGCCCAAGAGACGCTGCTAGGTACGGTTGTGAACCATGTGATGGCACACCTGCAGTACCCGCGCTCCTACTCCGAGCCGTTAGCTTCGTCCTCGGAGGTAAGGCACACCATGGTTCACAGGAAGAGCCGGTTCCACATGCACCGGATGCGCAGGGAGCAAGTGAAGGACTTGAACTTGGCCGGTAGCTCAGAGGAGGAAGACGAGCGTGAGGATGGGGATGAAACGAGCGAAGCTAGTGGCAGTGGGAATGAGGAGAGCGGTGAGAGTGGGGAGAGAAAGGAGAGAGAGGGGAGAGAGCAACGCCCCCGAGTGAAGGCTGCGGGCCAGCAGAGGAGCAGAGAGGCGGTGGCAGCCCGCTACCCTCTTGCGGCTCTAGCTTCCCACATTCCTCGCTCCCACAGTGACTCCACCCAGCAAGGAACCTCCCTCGTGCTCCAAAACTCCCCCTGTATTGGCCGTGACCCATCCCAAGGCATGTACGTGCCTGGCAGCAGCAGCAAGAGTCACAGAGGGAGTGGCAGTGCGTGGAGGGGCAGAGAGAAAAGCAACTGCATGGGCGGTTGGTCACCCAACGGCTCACCTACGGCCTCTCCTTGCGACTCCCCTTGGTCCTGCTCACCCGCATCCCCCCCTCAAATGTCTCCTGGAGCGTCACCAGGAAGGTCAGCAGGATCTCCCATGTGCCTTGATCCCCCTGTGCACATCAAGAGGAGCCCCTTGAGCCCTCTCAGTGCCCCGGGGGCTGCTGGTACTGCAGGTGAACCTGGAGTGGGGGGCCACAGGGGAACAGTGGGAGGAGAAGCAAGAGTGCTAAGGAAAGATAGAGGGATGGGAGTGCGGAGGAGGAGGAGGGCGGAGAGCTGGGGAGGTGTGGAGGATGATGATTATTGGGGGAAAGAGATGTGGCAGCCTTTGGTGGGGTCATCACCAGCAGGGCCAACATCCCCACTAGGTGCACAAGGACGCACTGAAGCAGAGGAATGGGAAATAGGAGGTCGCGGTGCCACACTAGGTGGCAGCACCAGGGGGCAAAAGCACAGTGAAGTGCCAGTGCTGGGCAGAGCCCCTGCTCCTGCAACGGCTCAGGACAAGCACACCCTTTCCAACTGTGCTGGCTCTGGCTGCGGCTAGAGCTGCAAGGAGTGAAGCAAAGAGGAAGGAACATTCTAGGAAGTGAGTAGACGCAAGATGTCACGACGCTAGTGCTTTGTTCCATTTTTTCCCCTTGTTTTGTCTCGCCCGTTTTCTAATTGTATGCCTTGATGACACATTGCTTGTCTGCGTCCTCCCCCCCCCCCACCTCACCCCCCTGTCGAGAGAAGATGTGACTAGAGGGCATGCAGTGGGAATATCTACAGGGTTGTACCCAGGGCTCAAAATTGGTTTATGGGGCACCCTTAGTAATCAGTGCACCTAAAAAAATTACCTTGTCTCAAGTTATAGGCTAGATAGGGTATGTTCTTAGTGGGTACAACCTAAGCGCTATATCCCCCCTGTTCTCCCTTCTTCAATTCATTCTTTCTAGTCTAAACATGGTATCACGAGTAGGTATGTCCACGCACCCACTTCCGCCCCATGCCGCCACCTACCGGACCCTCGAGCCCCTAGCTGGCCCCGCGCGCCCCTACGGCCCCGTCGCGCCCCTAGCAGGCCCCGTCGCGCCCTTACGGCCCCGTTGGGCCCCTACGGCCCCGTCACGCCCCTAGCAGGCCCCGTCGCGCCCCTAAGGCCCCGTCGCGCCCCTACGGTCCCCTCGCGCCCCTAACAGGCCCCATCGCGCCCCTACGGCCCCGTCGCGGCCCTACGGCCCCTCGCGCCCCTAGCCGGCCCCATCGCGCCCCTAGCTAGCACCGTCGCGCCCCTACGGCCCCGTCGCGCCCCTGCGGCCCTATCGCGCCCCTACAGCACCGTCGTGCCCCTAGCCGGCCCCGACGCGCCCCTATCGGCCCCGTCGCGCTCCTACGGCCCTCTCACACCCCTACCCGGCCCCATCGCGCCCCTACCGGCCCCTTGGGCCCCTAGCCGGCCCCGCGCCCCACTACGGCCCCTCGCGCCCCGAGCTGGCCCCATCGCGCCTCTACCGGCCCCTCGCGCCCCCAGCCGGCCACGTCGCGCCCCTACGGCCCCTCGCGTCCCTACCGGCCCCACGCGCCCCTACGGCCCCTCGCAGGCGATGGAGACATTTCTCGTTCAAGGGGTGCTGGCGTGGAGTGTACTAGAGGTAGCAGTGGTGCAGCTGGTGGTCCAGGTGTCGGCGTTGAGCAGCAGCAGCAGCAGTCGCCGCCGGTGTCCGCCCTTCGCCTGCTCGGCCTTCCCTCCCCTGACTGCTCGCCTGCGCCTCCCTCGCTGTCTCCCCCTCTTCCTATTCACGGTCCTAAGTTTCCTCCGCCGGACTCGTCTCCGGCTCGTTTCCCCTCTCGTTCCCCTCCTGTTTCTCCTCCTCTATCTCCTGACCCGATGCCTCCGTCTCACGTCTGGTCTCGTCGTCCCTCTCATGCTCGTCCTGTCTCTCCTGTTCAGCGTTCTCACCCTATGCTGCTTCGTTCCCACGCGTCTCGTCCTCCCTATTTGCCTTCGCCTCCTCCGTCGTCGCTCACTGTCGTGCCTCCCCCTCTGTCTGACTACCTTCGTGCTGCTCATCCTCTTGTTCCTCGGGTCCTTGCCTCCCTCGTTACCGACCCGTCTGTTCCTGTCTCGAGTCTTGACGCTCTTGTCGGTGTTGTCGCTGACTTTGCCTCTACTCGCCACCTTGACTTCGCTACCGCTCTGGTCTCTGACCCTGTCTGTCCTCCGTCTGTCGGGGGTGCTCCTGCCCTCGGCAGTGACGTCTTGGAGGACTGGCAGTACGAGCTTGCTTTCCTGTCAGAGGCTGCTCCCCATCTCTGTTCCATGCTGCTAGTCCCTGAGGGTGACCCTGACGCCTTTGACATCCCATCCCCTCGCACCTACGCTGAGGCGACCTCGGGACCCAGGCCCTCTCAGTGGATAGCTGCCATGGAGCAGGAGATGGCATCTTGGAGGGCTACTGGCACCTACGTCGACGCAGTTCCCCCACCTGGGGTGAACGTAGTCGATGGCTGATGGCTCTTCAAGGTGAAGCGCCCCCCTGGATAACCGCCTGTGTTCAAGGCGCTACAGGCGTTACAGGCGTCAGTCAGCATGAGGGGGTGGATTTCTTTCAGACCTTCGCCCCAACCCCGAAGATGACTACTCTTCGGGCGCTGCTACACATAGCAGCACAGCGTGACTATGAGCTCCACTCCCTCGACTTCTCCACTGCTTTTCTTCAGGTTAGCCTGCACGAGCAGGTCTACCTGTGCCGTCCTCAGGGCTTCACCGGTACCTTCCCTTCTGGGACCCAGTGGCTCCTTTGGCGCCCAGTCTACGGCCTGCGACAGGCGCCCCGTGAGTGGCACGATACGCTGTGTGCTACGCTGGCTGACTTAGGTGAGCGGCCTAGCTCTGTCCTGATTGTGTACGTTGACAACAAGGCCACGATCCTCCTGTGTCAGGAGTCTCAACTTGAGGGTAGAGCGAAGCACATCCAGCTGCGGTACTTCCTCCTGCGCGAGCTTCAGCAGCGTCGCCAAGCCCGCGTAGTACACTTGGCCTCCGGTGCCAACACAGCTGATATCTTTACTAAGGCTCTTCCGCCTAGAGATCATCAGCGGCACTGGTTGCAGTTAGGTCTAGTCCCTGTTGACTCTCACTTGCTAGGCCCTTGATTGTGTACTCCTTTCTATTTATGCCTTCCAGATTGGCCTTGTGGCTTTTCTTCCAGTGGTTGGACTAGTAGTACCACCCTGGTTTGCTCTGTCTTGCTTGTACTCTTGCTGACTGGTCTTCGGGCCCCTGCCTCAGAGGTTGGACTTGTAGTGCCACCCTGAGCTGCGTGTTGCTTGCTCAGCACTACCCCTTATCTAGCCTAGGGGGTGTGTCTGTAATAATCTGACAGGTGTTGCAGGAGACTAAGTATAGAATCTGCAAACACAAACACTTGGAAAACCTCAAGTGTTAGCCTAGGATCTTTACTGGAATGGTAGACTAGTAAGATGGCAGAAGTCTTGTTAAAGTATGATAATCAAGGTTGAATAACCTGAGCTCATGAACTTGTGGGTAATCAAAGTTCATAATGGTAAGGCATAACAAGGATATATAATTCTAGGAAAAGTACATGTTCGCTAATGTACCTGTTCGTCACTATCGCGCTATGCGCTCTAAATGACAATGAAGAGGTGCGACTGTTCGCGTAACTGAAACGACTGTCCCCATGACGAGCGCTATTTGCTGACGTCATCCTACGGACTTATCTTCTACAGTTGGATTTGACACTATCTACTGATAAACGACTTACAGAAATGCTAAGTATGAATTATATCACAACACTCCCCTTCATTTCTGGAAGTTCGATAGTGTCACTTCTTGAAGATCCCGCAAAGCTTGTTACAGTACTGAAACTTCTGTCGTGTAAGCTTCTTCGTGAGGAAGTCGGCAGCCATTTCGTTGGTCGAACAATAGACCAATCGCATTCTCCCTTTCTCAACTTCATCCTTGCCGAAAAACTAACAAAGTGAAATATGTTTCGTCCTGTTGATGAAGCCAGGCTGGTACGCGATGCGAATTGCACTTTGGTTGTCGCACTGCAGGGTAAACTGAGTACTAGTCGTCAACTTCGCTTCTTCCAATAGTTCCTGCAGGTAAAGTCCTTCGCGTGTTGCTGTGCAGACATCGATAAATTCAGCTTCAGCAGAGGAGAGAGCAATCAGCTCCTGCTTCGTCGAATTCCAAGAAATAGGCCTGATAGATTCAAGACGATAGATGAACCCAGTATGCGAGCGTCGATTAGTGGTGTCAGCAGCGTGGTCGGCATCGACGAAACCGTGTAGGAATAGAGTTTTACAGCCGACGACGTTGTAGACTAAACCGACGTCAGGAGTAGAGACTAAATACTGAAGAGCACAAAGAAGATCGAGTTGGTGTTCTTCTTCAGGACGGCATAGGAACTGTGCGAGTTGACTAGTTGCGTAGGCCAGATCTGGACGGCAAGTTACAGCGGCGAAGAGTAAACAGCCTAACTGCTGTTGATAGGTCTGTAAACCGGTTGAATTTAACGGTGCAGTATTCGGTTTGTAGTCAGTCGGTAGAGAACGGTACGGTGTAGAAACTGCAGTAGGGGTGAGGTTGAAGCGGGCAGCGAGCGTCGCTGCGTACTTCGAAGCGGTGATGTGAATCGACGTCGGTGAGCAGGTAATGTTTAGACCGAGAAACTGTGGGACTGTTTCGGAGACGGTAAGCTGTAGAGTTTTTTGTAGTTTCAGTATGAAGGTATTGGCGAGTGAATCGGTAGTGCTAACATAGAGAATGTCGTCGACGTAGGCGACAAGTAAAATATAGTTGCTTCCGTCGGTTAGAAGATACATTCCCTGGTCATGCGGTAGCTGACAGAATCCAACGGTAAGTAAATGTGAATGTAGGTACTGTTGCCATAGCTGGGGTGCCTGTTTAATGCCGTATAGCGATTTTTGGAGACGGCATACGCTCGGTGGGTTAGTAGTATAGGAATGCGGGTACTCTACCAGTATGAGTGCGTCGACGGGTGCATAGAGAAACGCATTTGCCACGTTGATTTGTCGAAGTCGTAGATTACGGCAGGCGACGGCACAGAGTAAAATCCGAACGCTTGTATGTCGACTGACGGGAGCAAAAGTCATCTCGTAGTCGATGCCGTAAGTCTGCTCGAATCCGCAGACGACCCATCGCGCCTTGAATTTTTCAAACGACCCATCTGCATTAGTCCTCACACGGAAGACCCATTTTCCGGTAAGTACCTTCCTCCCTTTTACTTCTGATGTCGGTATTAACTCCCATGTGCCACGACTCTTGAGAGCTGCTAGCTCTCTGTCCATGGCTTCGCACCATTTTTCGCGGTGAGGACTCGTAAGAGCTTGTCGAACGATTTTCGGTTCAGGTATCTTACTGTCATTGTACTGTGCTGCGACTGCAAATCCAAGTATCTGTAATCCTGCTTCAGTAAAACGCGGACGTTCTTCGTTTGCACCTGCGAAATTTTCTTCTGGTCCTTCTTCCCGTCCAATTTCGTCAGGTGTAACACGAACTGCTTTGTTGGAGACGGCTGGCATCGGCTGCAGTTGGCGATCGCGTTCGTAACTGAGGTGGACTTTGCGAACTTCATCCGGGTCAGCATCTGCAAGAGGAATAAATTCCGGGATACTAGTCGACGTTAAAGGTTCGGGTATGTCTGTTGCGACAGCTTCGGAGGCTTCAGAAACGGCTTCGTCTTGTACATCAGCTTCGGCGTCGTCAGTTGCAAATGCACGCGAGCCTTCGAACAGCCTGGCGGGTTGGCAGCTGCTGCCTGGTGGGCACGAAAAACGGGCAAGGTGAGTCTTTCATAGAAAAGACAATCACGTGAAGGGACGATTTGGTTGGAACGGAGATCCAAAATCTTCCAAGCGTGATACTATTTTTCGATGCTGAAGTGTACCCCCCATTTTGCTCGTTCTGAAAATGTGCCGAGTGCTGCAGTTGGAGGACGAAATTGCACGACACACCCAAAAACTCGTAAAAGTTTGGTACTTCCCACTGTTCTTGTCCACTGCATGTGCGGAGAAGAAAATTCGGGTAGTGACGTAGAAGAGAGCAGGTTGTGTAAAAGCACGGCGTGGTCCATCGCATACAGCCAAAAACGTGGCGGAAGGGCTGCCTGAGTCAACAGAGCACGCATCTTCTCCTGCAGAGTTCGGTTCATCCTTTCCACTACCCCCATCTGTTGTTGTGCATGCGGCAGTGACTGCTTCCGTTTGATGTCGAGTATCTGGAGGTAGTCTGTGAAGGTGTTGCTCGTGTATTCCCCTGCGCCATCACTCTGGAATTCTTGCAGTTTCATGCCATACTCTCGCTCAGCGACAGCGAGCCATGCGACGAAGATGGAATGAGCAAGATAACGAGCAGGAATGTTTGCTCTCCAAACGTAGCGAGTAGATGTTTCGATGAAGGTTATCACGTACTGCTCTTCTTTAGGTCCTGCTTCAGGTAAGTTAAGAATATCGCTGTAGACTTTTTGCATCAGTTCATAACATGTGGAGCCAGGAAAATGACTTGGAAACGGGTCGTGGGTAAGATTGGCGATCGGACACGTGGTGCAAACCGTCGGGTGAGACTGCAGCTTCATCTCCTTGCCGTCAGGTAAGAGAAGACTATTTTTATCAAGAACTGCTGCTCGGATTGAATGATTAAGAATCCCTTGTGATGGATGTCCTAACCGCTGATGCCAGGTGTCTTTGGTGGCTTTGTGTCCTGATGATCGCAGGTAGAAAGCGGCGTTAGTATAAACGAAGAAATTATTAAGGGAGAAAGCGCGGGAGATATGTCGAGCTCCCCTTCAATGAAACGTGTAAGTGGTAACTTGATTGTTGATGGTTCCCACGACAGGATACGTAAACTCGCCGGTAAAGAACGGCCATAGCCCAGCGGACTGCGCCAGAAGCTCAAACTCGAAACTCCTGGAGTAAAAATCAACTCCGTTAAATCTGTGTACTGTTAAGCAAATTTGGCGGTTGAAAGATAATACCCAGTTGTTGAGGCTGTTGCTGTTGTTGTTGTTGCTGAAATTGCTGTGGCTGTTGCTGTTGTTGCTGATGTTGCTACTGTTGTTGTTGCTGAGCAAGGGGATGCCTGAAGATGTAAAATGGATATTCGCATAAGCCGGTGGAAACGGTCCAAAGGTTGAGAGACCAGTGGCGGTCGTGGAGACAGGTACTCCAGTAGTTCCAGAACTAGATCCAGTAGATTGTGCTGGTGATGTTCCAGTCATTGTTGACAGTAGTCTTGATTCCAGATAGCTCTCATACCATGTAATAATTTGACAGGTATTGCAGGAGACTAAGTATAGAATCTGCAAACACAAACACTTGGAAAACCTCAAGTGTTAGCCTAGGATCTTTACTGGAATGACAGACTAGTAAGACAGCGGAAGTCTTGTAAAATTATGATAATCAAGGTTGAATAACCTGAGCTCATGGACTTGTGGGTAATCAAAGTTAATAATGGAAAGGCATAACAAGGATTTATAGTTCTAGGAAAAGTACCTGTTCGCAAATGTACCTGTTCGTCACTATCGCGCTATGCGCTCTAAATGACAATGAAGAGGTGCGACTGTTCGCGTGACTGAAACGACTGTCCCATGACGAGCGCTATTTGCTGACGTCATCCTTCGGACTTATCTTCTACAGTAAGATTCGAGATTATCTACTGATAAACGACTAACAGAAATGCTAAGTATGAATTATATCATAACAATGACAACTTATACATATATTGTTATGTAGAAGTTATAGGCTAAAAGCTTATGTTTTTAGTGGGTACAACCCAAACGCTATATATCCCCTATTCTCCATTCTTCTAATCATTCTTTCTAGTCTTAATATATCACACCTTGTTTGTACTGCCTGTTCTAGTCACTTTGCTACTATTCTGAGAAATGTTAGATTAGTGTGCCCATTGTAACCTGAACTAGGCAATTTGCTTCGGCCTCTGCTCAGACCAGACCCTTCCCAGACTCGTGACACTCTCCTAAAACCGGATTGAACAACTTCGCGTCAAAATTGCACTGTACTGTAGCTAGTGCGTCTGGGAATGGGCGAGTCTGAGAATGGGCGAGTCTGAGAATGGGCGAGTGTGAGAATGAGCGAGACCGTAAGAACATGTGTCCCAAGTCACCCCTCTACCCAGTGTTCTGCATGCCTGCAGCAATCCCCTTCATTGTGATGATCAAAGTGTCTTCCAGCCCTGGGGCATATGCACTGGATGGATTCCGGCCAACCACGTCAGACGAGTGCGCCTTTGTCAGCCCGCGTGCTGGCGAAGCCTCACCCGAGTCAACGAGCGACGAAAACTTTCCTCGTTTCTCTCCTTCCCCACCACTCTTCCCTCCCTCCGATGCGCCCTCTTCAGCCGTGGCTGCTCCCTCGACACTTGTTTTCTGCTCCTCCTGCCGCATCTTCTTGAGTGTGAGCACTTGCATGACATTGAGCGGAGTGATGTACGGCTCTCGCATGAGCAGGCGCTGCCGCAGGGTGGGAATGCTCTCCAGAGGCACCTTGTGCCCGCACACCTGGGAGTGAAGGGGGGTGGAAAAGGCCAGGTGAGGGCGACAAGGTGACTGTTGAAGAAGTGTTGCGGAAATTAAGGAGGACAGACAACATGAAATGTGGGCATAGGCAAGCTGGAAAGATGAATCCAGATTGTTTCTCACCTATTTGAGCGTACAAACAGCATGAAGGTACTAGATGGAGGGCACACATTACATCAACGCACTCCATTTCAGCGTACCTGCAGTACCAGCTTCTTGCTCTCCTCGTACTTTTTCTGCAGCTCATCCCCGAGCTGCTGCAGGTCGGGCGGGGCGAGCTCTTGCTGGTAGAGGCGGGCGACGCGGGGGTCGCCTTTGGCGAAAACCATTTGGAGGAGGTCGAGGGTGACGCGGAAGAAGGGCCACTGCTGGTACATGCGCTGCAGCTCGTCCAGCGCACGCGGGTCCTCCTCCACCACGCCGCACAGCGCCGCTGCCAGCCCCAGCCACACGGGCAGGTGGAAGCGCGTCTGCGTCCACGCAAAGATCCACGGGATGGCGCGCAGCGTCTCCACTCCGCCACCCGCGCGGCGCTTGCTTGGGCGGCTGCCGATGTTCATGCGGGAGAACTCGGTCTCGGGGGTCACGGAGCGGAACAGCTCCACGAACCGCGGGTGCTGGAACACCACAGAGCGGTACTCCGCGGTGGACAGCGGTGCCATGCGCTCCATGAGCGCCTCCCACTGCGGCAGCGGCACGCACGGCGGGTTGAGGGTGTGGTCGAGCGTGGCGGCGGTGAAGCGCTGCAGCGTGCGGAAGCACAGGTGCTCCTCGCCGAACGACTGCTCGATCACCTCGCCCTGCACCGTCACTCGCAGCCGCCCGTTCACCGTGCCCGGCGGCTGCGACAGAATGGCCAGATGCGTGGGCCCGCCCCCGCGCCCACCGTGCCCCCCTGCCATGGAAGATGCTCAGCTGCACGCCGTGCGCGCGCGCCACCTCCACCACGCGCGCCTGCGCCTTGTACAGCGCCCACGCCGCGCCCAGGCGCCCGCGTCCTTGCCCGAGTCGGAGTACCCGATCATGATCTCCTGCACGCCGCCCTCCAGCGACGCGCGGTACAGCGGCAGGCTGAAGAGCTGCTCCAGCACGGCGGGCGCATTGCTCAGGTCGTCCAGCCGCTCAAACAGCGGCACCACGCGCAGCGGCCGCTTCACCCCCGCGGCGCGCTGCAGCAGCTGCACCTCGAGCACGTGCGACGCGCTGGTGGCCATGGAGATGACGTATGCGCCCAGCGAGTCGCGCGGCAGCCCCGCCAGCGTGCGGAACGTGGCCAGCACCTCGCGCACCTCCCCACTCGCCGCCTCCACCAGGTCCTCCCCAAACAGCGGGCGGCGGCTCTGCAACTCGTGCATGAGCCAGTCCAGGCGCTGCTGCTCCGGCCACTGGCTGTACGCGCCCTGCCCCAGGTGCGCTGTGATGGCGTCCAACGCCTCGGTGTGCCGCGCGCCCTCCTGCCGAATGTCCAGCCGCACCAGCGACAGCCCAAAACATGCCACCTGCCGCACACAGTCCAACAGCGCACCGTCAGCACAGTAGAGACATAAGATGAGACATGCATGCACGGCAACGACAAGAGAACAAAACCACTAGGGCCTAACACCTGGTAGTGCACAGTGTGATGTGCGTGGCTCAGACAGAAGGTTGGTACAGCGGAGGGCGGAGGGCAGCATGCAAAGAGCCCACTGGCGTAGCATGTCGAGCAGCTTGCTGTCTGCTATGGCTGCATCGCCCACCGAGCACAGCGACTTGTAGCACAGCTCCAGGGGCTCCATCAGCTGAACACATGGGGGGGGGTTGGAAGAGGGGGAGGCGAGAGATATAGACAGAGAGGCATGAATTCTGTGCAGCAGTTGGGACCAACCAAGTGGAGCCATGGTTCAGAGCACTGGCGCCCACGGTCCGCTCGCCCAGCTGCCCCTCTCTCCTGCCTCCGCCCCCCCCTCTCCCCTCAGCCCTCCCACCTGTCATGAGTCGGTGTAAATATCGTGAGGGTCAACTCTCCCCCAGCTCACGGGCCTCGTGGGTGGAATGTCTGTACCGCACCAGAGACCCTGCCTCATCCCACATCTCTCCAGGCCAAACCCCCCCTCCCCCCTCCCCCTTCCCGCCTCCCCGCCCCCCCCCACCTGTTCGGGGTCAGTGTAAATGTCTTGGGGGCTGAACTCGGAGTGGCCGCGCGCCATGAGGTGCTGGATGTGGTCGCGCGTGTTCCAGAGCTTGTCGCGCACCTCGCCCAGCACGACGCGGTACGGCTCGTGCTCCGGGATGTCCTTCCAGAACTCTGCACACGTCACACACACGGGCACAGGGCGGGCAGATGCACCCGGGTGGCAGGGGGGAAAGGGGGAGAGGAAAGGGGCATAAGGGATAGGAGATAGGGCATCGGGGATGGGGATGGGGGAAGGGGCTTAAGGATCCCTCACTCAAGAGGAGCTGCAGCAAAGAAGTATTTCATACGGGCTCCAAGGACGCACTCCTATCTTGTACTCTCAGTACTCCCATCCCCATCAGCCCCATCTATCCCCTTCCTCCCCACCCCTCTTGCTCCATCTTTATCTCACCAATGTAATGCCCTGAGTGCTTCTTGGCCCCTGCGCACACCTCCACTGCCCGCTGCTTCAGCTCTGCACTCGCACGCCACATGGACAACTGTGAGGGAAGGAGGTGAAGGAACGGAGTGGGCGGGAAAAGGGGGGAAGGGTACGTACGTACATAGAACCATCTAAGAAAATGTGGCTGTAGTAGAACGGCATATGGGCAGTCACAGGAGCGATGGAACGTTGGCAGGGAAGGAATGAAGGCATGAAACACGTGATGGGACACGCGCAGAAGATGGCTGGAGAACAAGCAGAGAGTGGTGGGACATCCAAGATGGGTGCTCACGTCGAAGATGAGGGCTTCGATCTGCGTGATGTAGAGGTTGGTGACCATGAGGCGCGACAGGTACACCACGTCCTGGGTCACCGCTGCCGTCACCCGCGGGTTGCCTGGGCGGGAAGGTAGGGGAGGAGGTGTAGTAGGCACGGTGGGAGTAGAGAGGGAGGAGACAGGAAGGAGCACAGTAGAAAGGGTTGTAACAGGTTAAAATCCGAGGTCCGGACTGTCCAAAAGTTAGCAGTTGAAAAAGGGGGAAGAATATGGTTGGATAGTGAGCTCACAAAAAGTTCGCCAATCCCCCAAGTGTCAAACAACACCCCTAACTTGGACAATCCGGATGTCGGGCTTTAAAGGTGAGGGATGGAAGATAAAGGCTAATCAATTGAGAGCACAATCATGTGCCCTTCCCATTTGCGTCGACTGGGTCCAAGGTTTAGGCATCTACCAACCTTGTAACCCTGCTTGCTTTCCCATGGTTACCCTCCTCTCAGTCTCCTTGGCCCACCCCCGCAGGTGCGCACATGACATCTTCTCATTCCCCCCCCATGCATGCGTTCACCATGGCAGTCCCACGTTTCCACTGCATGATGTGGTGGAGAAGGGCGCCCACCCCACATCTTTGCACTCCGCTACCCCAGATCCTTAGCGCACACTGCGTCCATTGCTTCTTCCCCGCATTTCACCCCATGCATGGGCGCTCACCCTCACGGTCACATGCTTTCACCTAGGGATACGAGGAAGAGGGAGCTCACCATTGCGGTCACTCCCTGTCACATGCCTCTACGTAGAGCACCCCACATCCCCTGCGCTCACCGTCGCGGT